ATGTTTATTGGATCATTATTCACAATAGCCAAGCTATGGAAACAGCCCAGATGCTGTATATGTATATGTGTGTGTATATATATACATATATGTATATATGTGTGTATATAATGAAATTTTATTCAGCCATAAAGAAGAATGAAATTTTGTCATTTGCAGGTAAATGGATGAAACTTGAGAACATCGTCTTAAGTGGTTAGCCAAGTTCAGAAAGACAAACATCACGTTTTCTCTCATATATGGAAGACAGACCCAATACAAATATAAGTGTTATTATACATACATATAAATATATACAGAACATGTTTCCAAAAGTGGGACTGTTAGAGACTAAAGGAGAAGGAAAAGAAGAAAAGATTGATAGAGCATGAAAAATAAATACATCACCTTTGTAGGAACATAACACAACAAAATCCACTGAAAACTGTTGAACAATAAATCATAGGGGGGAAAAAGGAAGGACAGTACCATTGGGAGTTAGACTGATTTAAGTACAATATGTTTACAGCTAAAATACCAAGGCAAAATCTCCACTGAACAATGAACAGAAAAACAATATAGGACAGGAACATAAAACAGGTCATGTTCGGGGGGCACTAGCAGGGCGGGTAAATGAAGACAGTAAAGGAAGGTGACTAAGGCCATATACTTTCTATACAGGTATTAATATGGAACATTGAAACCTGTTTAAGTCACTTTAAGAAGGTTCAGATTCAGATAGAAGGGCAAATAATGGAGGGAATGAAATAAATTGGAATTTAACACACATGTATGTGGAAATGCCACAGTGAAACCCCCTATATAACTATCATATACTAATAAAAATGTCTTTGAAAAAGGAAGTGTCTGGTGTCCTGAAATTGGCTAGGATGTAGAAAAATAGAAGGGTTCTCTGTGCATGTTCTAAGATAGAGCTGTTTTTACAATTTTCTTATAAACTTCCAGACAGAATTGATAGGCATTTAAAAGCAGATTGTCAAAGTCTGTCAAAATAACTTGAATCCTTTAATATAAGAATTAATAGTAGTACATACTTAAACATAAAAATGCAACACAAAGCTTAACAATTCCTCAAAAGAAACACAAGATGCTATGACAACAAACACAAACTACACATTCACATAAGCAAACATTGCCAGGCACTAGTGATTCACAGCTGTAATCCTAGCTACTCAAAAGGTTGAGACTGGGGGAACCTCACCTCGAGGCCAGCCTGATCCAGTAGTTCATGAGACCTCATCTCCAAAACACCCAGAGCAAAATGGACTGGAAGCATAAGTCAAGCAGTAGAGTGCCTGCTTTGCAAGCACAGAAGCCCTGAGTTCAACTCTAGTACCACCACCAAAAGAAAAAAAAACCTAGTCCCACCAAAAAAAAAAAAAAGATGTAGAAAACATAATCTTGTAAAAATATGAACAAATTTGTTACCAGAAAAGGGAAAAGTTCAGAGTATTCCTTGATAAGAAAGAAGGGTAGAATTCTTTAGTCAGCTTTGTAATTTCCATGCAAATCATAGAAACTTGAGATTCAGAAGGAAAAGCATTTTGAATGGTTTCGCAAGTGAAAGTTCAGCAGGAATTTATTTAGCAAAAGAAGATAAAGTAGGGAGCAACAGAAAAGGGAAGGATAGGCATCTCCTCTTTGGTGCGCAGGTGTGGACGAAAAAAAAAAAGCTCAAAAAAGGCTATCTTTAGAAGCCTGGATGCATTTATATATTCTGAGCTGGAGGATTCCATTGTGAGTCCCCCTCCAGACACATAGTCATGTCATCTAGCAAACCCTAATCATTTTGCTAAATTTCTAAGCATGAAGACAACGGATTTTTGGTGGGTTTCTTATTAACCAAAACAGAGCTAGAGGGGGCCTAGCTCTACCCAAAACACTGGGACAATGGGTATAATACTGAGGAGACCCATTTATCAGACATGGCTTTTAGTTTTCTGTCTTCCCTAACCATTCAAGGACTTATAACTTACTTAACCTCTAAAAGAACACTGAGTCTTTTTTCTGAGGCATCTTACCCATTACAAGGAGATTGTAATTCACTCAATCTAGAAGGCAGCAGAACAGTGGGAGGAAATCTTTCTGTTGTAGTGATTTTCAGCTTTTACTTCCTGATTCTGTTTTAATTCCCCAGTCTTGCCTTTTAAATAATTTTATTATTTTTAATTTCACCTCATTTGTCCTGCCTCAAAGTTTACCTAATGGACATCTGTACAACTCTACACAAAACAACTGAATATAAAGAGAGACATACAGACTAAAGTCAAATATAGTATCAGGGCACAAAGAAGTTCAATTAGAAATCAATACCAAAAGCTCATCTAGAAAATTCCAAACTATGCACACATCTATCTGTCCATTGGAGAAAGGCGCTGGACACTGGCCTAACTCCAATTTGTCCCTCTCTGTTGCTTTAACCGACCTTGTTATTTTTCTGAAGGTTCCTCACCCCTCAGTCACCTTGGATCTCCAGTAAGCACAGGATCACATTGTAAACATCTTGTGACAAAAGCCAAAACTGTCCCTCAAACAATGCTTTCTTCTTATTGTGATCACATATCACCTGGACATCCTGAAATAATGATCAACCAAAGCACATCTTTGACTAGGATCACCTAATCACTCTCACCTAATTACACTCTTTCCCTACTTAAACCTAAAATTTATGTCAGCACCCCAAAGATGATCTTGGAGTCACTGAATCCCCTTCTTTATTTGTTTTCGCAACATGGTTTACATTGGATTAAACCCACTTTCTCTGTCTTTTCACCAGCGATCCTCTCTTTTATTGGCTGGAGTGATGCCTGAGGCTAGTTGGGTTTGGACTCCCAGAGCTGGGGCTTTTCAGCTTAAAACTCTTGTTTCGCTATGAGTCAGCAGAAGGTTAAGAAGAGAAATTATTGACAGATTATATACACATGTCACATGAAATTCATGAAATGCCTCAACATCAGTGAAAATCAGCGAGGAAATTCAAAAAAATTCCAACACAGAGCCAATGAGGCAGGCTAAAAAGAGGGAAAGGTAGCCAGGGGACTCCTCAGAGCCCGCGTAACGTTTTCTCGTGCACGTCTTGCTAAACTCCTTGTCTCAGCCCAATACTGTCATTTGCAATACCTAAGAGCTAGCTTAAGTGTATGCGGAGAGTAACCGTCAACCACCCTGACCCACCAGAACTGCCCAAATCTTGCCCCATTCACAAGTTATCTGTGGTTTAAAATGCATTGAAACAGCAAACCCACAGTCTGCTTCCTGTTTCCATCCCACCTGGCCAGTTGGAAACACCATTGCTTTTTGTAAAGCCTTTAATAAACTTTATAACCTCCCTTCTGATATCTGCATGTGATGCCTGGTTGCTTTCCTGTGGGACCCAATTTGAGAATCTTCTGATCAGAGACTACATGAGCCTACAACACCAAGACAGCTAACAATAATTGTTACAATCAACTCTTTCAAGTCTCTGGAAATTAACTCTCTAGCATTATGCAGAGGTCTTTTTCCCCAGGAAAAATGACTAATCTGTATAAAAACAGTAATCTTTGTAGGATTTGCATTGGCCTAGTCCTTTCCCCAATAAATTGAAATACATCAACCCACATTTTCCATGAATGTCAGCAATACAGAAACCAGTTTTTAAAAATGCAGACTGGGACTATAGCATCTTTCAAGCTTCCTTCCCAGAGGATTGTCACAATCTGACCTATACTCTGCTTCCTAGAAAACTCCAAGCTTGTATTTGGTTTGACTCTGATTTCAGAATCGCCACATCATATTATTTGGAATATCCTGTTTCCATTTAAAAAAATTTTTTAATGCAATAAACAAACCAGCATGACCAGAGCACAGGGAAAAATCTCTAGTCCTGGTTATGAGGAAGACTAGATGTTGGATATGCTAAAAAAATACTTTAAATTAGCTACATTAAATAATTTAACAGAATGAAGGAAACAACTGATAGAAAGTAACATGATGATAACTCTTTAAACAGAAACATCAAAAGGCATAGAAGTGACAAAAAAAGAAACAGAATGTCTGCAATAGAAAAATATAGCAAGTGAAGTTAAATATTAATTATAGAAACACAAGAGTAGATTCGAGCATACAAAAGAAAGAATCAGTGAGCTTGGCAGTAGATCAATTGAGATTATGCAGTCTGAGTAAGAAAAAGGGAAACGGAGGGAGAAAAATGATCACAGCCTGAGAACCCCTTGGAAGGCTATCAGCATATGAGCACATGTATCATGAGAACCCACAGGAGAAGAGGAGTTAAAGGGGCAAAAAACCTTGAAGAATTAATGGACCCAAACTTCCAGATTTGAATTTTAAAATATTAATTTCTGATCAAAGAGGTTCTAAGAACTTTGAGCTCAAGGTCTGCTATGCCACTGTTCTACCACTTGAGCTACACACCTAGTCCCAAGACAAAGAATCCTGACAGAAACCAGAGAGAAGGGACTGCTCATGTACCTACGATCAATAGCCAATTTTTCATCAGAGTTCATGCAGGCTGGAAGTTGGTGAATTAAAATATTCAATGTGCTGAAAGAAAAACACTATCAACAAAGAATTCTGTATCCATTGTACCCAAAAATTAAGGGAGTTAAGTAATAGATAAATGATTGCCCATTTTAGATATGCTCAGATAGTATATAATACTATACATCAAAATATCAAAAGCAATTTTATCAGGCTACTGAAAATAACAGTGAATCTGTTCTTCTTGTATTGCTAATTTTTTTAGTAATAAACATTTTATTTGAAAAAATATAAAAAATAAAGAAATGGGACTTAATACATCAGAAAACAATAAATGAGATACAATAGTTTATATTTTTCAGAGATTTTATATGAAATTTGGATGTTTCATTTTAAAAAACAGAGAGAAGATATAAAATATAATATTCCTATTCAGTGGCTAGCTACTGCCTTTCATGGTTAAATGACTTCCACAGGAATAATTTCCTATCATGTTATAACACCACAATCATTACAGTTACCTGTGAGCTTAAGGGAACTTTATAGAGCTGTTCTTTCTGCCAAATACTGCTGTAATTTTTTGCTAACATTGGTACATTTGGGTTGCCATTTTTCACTTGATAAATTATGTGCTCAAATCTTACTGAAGATTCCAGTGGTTCAATCGCATAGGTGATATTTTCAAGCTGCAGAAATCCCCTGAATATTCAGAAAGACAATAATAAAAAGGAAAGCAAACATTTTAATCTACTTGCTTTTCCTATTTGCTATTTATTTTGCAATCTATCATTAGTAACAGCTACCATGTCTGCCTTCATGTTGCTCAGATTTTAAAGAAGAAAATATAGTGAAAAGCATTTTGTAATTTATGGTTAGTAATTATGCTTAGATATATGAATTGACTTTCTGGGATAAGACAGCAGAACAGAAGCATCCTTCCCTTTACTGGGTGAGTGAGAAGAGTCAAGGCAAAGGGAACCTATATTCTGAGGAGAAAAAGAGAAGAACTCCAGGAATAAAGAAAGAAGTGATGGGAGACTGGAAAGCTCAGAGAAGCAGAAAAGTGACTCAGAGTAAGTGAGAATCAGTCTACAACTTCAACCCAGGTACCCCAGCAGGGAGAGGCAAACCTGATGCAGAAAGAACAAGGTAAGCCAGAGAGTGCAGGCAGCCTGGATGCTGACAAAAGCCAGCAGCCCTAGTGCAGGAGAAATCACAGTTCTTACAAGCAAAAAGACATGACATGGCTTGCCATCTCTCAGAGTGCTTGAATTAGGAGCCATCTTCAGAGCCCCTGGGGACACCCTGCCACAGTGACTCAGGGGAGACAGCTGCAATAGACAGGTAAAGAGAAGAGGAGGTTCTGTCACAAAATAGCCTTATTACTAAAAGTAATCTACAGATTCAATGCAATCCTCATCAAAACACCAAACACATTTTTCACAGAACTAGAAAAAAATCCCAAAATTCATATGGAAGTACAGAAGATCTCCAATAGCCAAAGCAATCTGAGCAAAAAGAGCAATGCTGGAGGGATCACAATACCTGATTTCAAATTTTACTATACAGCAATAGCAACAAAAATAGCATGGTACCTGAACAAAAGGTGTAACATAGACCAATGGAATAGAATAGAGGATCCAAAATAAACTCAAACATCTATAGCCAACTGATAAAGTACCAAAAACACAAGAGGGAGAAAAGATAACATTTTCAACAAATGGATTTGGGAAAACTGAATATTCACATGTAGAAGACTAAAGCTAGACTCTTATCTCTTACCATGCACAAAAATCAATTCAAAATGGATCAAAGGCCTTCATATAAGACCTGAAACTTTGAAACAGTTCTAGGAAAACACTTGAAAATACAGGCATCATCAAGGATTTTCTGAATAGAACTCCAATAGGTCACGAAATAAGAACAAGAATTGGCATATGGAATTGTGTCAAATTAAACAGCTTCTGAACAGCAAAGGAAACATTAACATATTTGATGAGCCATTCTGCAGAATGGAAGAAAATCTATGCAGCCATTCATCCAAAAGAGGACCAATATCCAGAATACATGAAGAATAAATTAACAACAAAAAAAACAAGTAATGAAATCAATGAATGGCAAATAGGCTAACAGATACTTCTCAAAAGAAGTACAAATGGCCTATAAATATATGAAAAATGCCCCTGTCTTTAATTCAGGGAAATGTAACTTAAAAATACATTAAGATTCCATCTCACCCCACTTAGAATGTCAATGGCAAAAAATTGCTGAAGAGGATGTGGGAGAAAGGAACCCTATACATAAGGGAGGAATATAAATTAATGTAGCCACTATGGAAATCAGTATGGAAGTTCCTCAAAAAACAACAGCTAGAAACACCATATAATCTAGCTACACAACTTCTGGGTATACCTTTTGTTAGTCAGCTTTGTGTTGCTATGACATAATACCCAAGAAAAACAGATTTAGGAAGGAACAATTCATTTTGGCTCATGGTTTTGGAGGTTTCATTCAAAGGTCACTTGGCTCCATTGTTTCTGGGCCTGTCTCAAGGCAGAATAGCACAGTAGAAGAATGTGGCAAAAGAAGGCTTCTCACCTCATAGCTTCCAGGAAGAATAGAGGGGGAGGGAGGGAATGGTCAGGTACAAGATAAACCCTTCAAAGGCACACCCCCAGTGATTTACTTCTTCTGACTAGTCCCCCACCTCCTAATAACCCATTAAGCTATGAACTCATCAATAGCTTAATCCATTGATGACTCTAGTGCCCTCATGATCTAATCACTTCTGACAGTGCTACTAGTTGGGGACCATGCCTTCAACTTTTGAGACTGTGGGGGATATTTCATGTCCAAACCATAACATACCCTAGGAAATGCAGTCAGCAGACATAAAAGATACTAGTACACCCATGTTTATTGTAGCACTATTCTCAATTGCCAAGCTATGAAGTCAGCCTAGGTACCTGTCAACAGATAAATGAATAAAGAAAATATGGTATATGTATATATTCAAAGGCAGTATTATTCAGCCATACAGAATAATGAAATCATGTCGCCTGCAGGAAAATTGATGAAATGGAGATCATGATGTTAAGCAAAATAAGTCAGACCTCAAAAGACAAATATCACGTTTTCTCTCTTAAGAAGAATCTAGATTTAAAAAAGAAATTAGAAGAGAGTTTTGATGGGAGGGGCAAGGAAACCAGGGAGAGGGGAGGAAAAGGGGAGAGTAGGAGAGGGTAGATGGGAGGGTAAATACAATCAAAGCATAATATATGCATGTATGGAAATGTTGCATGAAACCATTAGTATGTAAAATTAATATGCATTAAGAATTACAATGCAATGATATATTAGTTAAGGACAAGTCCTACCAGGAAATCAAGATATTGGTTGAGAATTCCATGTAGAAAATTCTTGTTGTTACAGATATCACAGAGGTTAAAATAAGGGAAGGCAGATATGCAAATCTAAAGAGGTAAATACCTATGAAAATCACATTCAAAGAATGCCAATTTTTCAAACTGACATGAACAAATTGTGGAAATCAGGATACGTAAATGTAAAGGAAGCAAGGGAAAGCCTTTTCTCTCTGCTCTTGACCCTTCCTCCTCTGATGAACTTCAAGTTTCCAAGCGTCAGTGACAAAAATCACTTATCTCTGCCCAGTACCTCTGAAAAGTCTTTTTAATTAGTTATTTTATGTCTTGTACTAACCTGGGATCATATTATATGTGTCTACTATTTTAAAATATCTAATCAAGGGTATTTTTCATAACTTAAATATGATAAAAGAATTTAGCAACAGCATTCAGAGGAATGTTCTAAAGTTTTTTCTTTGGAAACTAACCCCTCCTACCTAATAACCAGGAAATGTCTCCATTCAGGACACCCTGTATGATTTCATTTAAATGGAAACATAGGTCCAGGTATTAGCATTTATTAAAATAAACAAAAGTAAGTCTGTTATAAAAGAAACTTCCAGATTTTCAGAATTTCAGATTTTTCTCAATTTACAACTGTTAGCCAGTGCATTTCATTTTAAAGTCTAACCTACTTTCTCCATGTATAAATATTCTTTGAGATTACATTACCTGAGGCCAGAGCAGACACTCAGTGTCACAACAGAACTTGGAAATTCAGCAACACATCCTTGGTAATGGCAATCCGTCTGAAACACAGAATGGACAGGTAAATTCACAAATTCCTTATGAATATGAAACATATTGCCAAATATTTCAGAAAACAGACACTAAAATATTTGCTAATAAAAAGACTATAAATTATACAGAATTATTAATACAATTTTTCAGGAAAAAAGATTTTTTGACAGCTCTCTATATTTTGTACCATCTGAATATCCATGAATGCTCTCTTGTATCTGGAGTTCCAGCTCTCTCATCTGCCATTTCCACATACAACAGTCAACCATATGAAGGTCTGAGTTACAAAGAATAAAACATTTATGGCTGGGCATGGTGACTCATGATTCCCTAGCTACTTGAGAGGCAGAGGTTGAGATCCTATATATACAAGAGGCACAAATAGGATTGCAGTCTAGGCTGACCCAGGCAAAGATATGAGACTCTATTTGAAAATAACTAAAGTAAAAGGAGTTGGGTGTGACTCAAGAGGTAGAGCTTCTGCCTAGCAAATACGAGACCTTGAGTTCAAAATCCTCTGTACCACCTGCCCCCAAAAACATTTGTTTTAGAAGATCAACATGGGTCTGGGATGTACCTCAGTGATAGAGTGGTTTCATAGCATGTGTGTGGCCCCATGTTCTGTCTCTAGTATCAGAAAAAAGTAAGTGTAAACATGGAACAAAATATCCTAGTGACAATACTAATATCCAATGCCCATTTTAACAAAGAAACACAACAAAATAAGTGTCTAAAACATCTGATTCTTACCATAAAATATGAAGATTCAGAATACAAAGATCCATTTTCTTTATATGTATAAATCAAAAAATTCTGGGATAAGAATGAGCTAAAAATAAATCAATAAACAAGGATTAAGTTGTGAATGTAATATGAATATGACTATTTAAAAAATAAATGCTAAGTGTACAGAATTCACATACTGACATGATTCAATCAGAATAATTCTGTGTGGTATAACAATTGAAATTATTATTATTATTGTATTAGGAAGTTCAAGCTCTCATCATTGGAACAGACCCTGTGACTGCACAGTATCAGGTATTTATATTTGGGCCAGAGTATGTCTTCACTCAACAAATATCTACTGCTGTGTCCACTATATGGCAGACCCTCTTCTGGGTGCTGGGATACAGCAGTGACAAAAGACAAAATCTCTGCTCTTTATGACAGCCATGTATACATATTGCTAGCATATTAAGTACCAGTAAAATGATCTGGGTGTTATAGAATGGTCACAAAAATGTACATAGGCTGCCATGGAAAGGTTTACCAAATAGATGACTAAACACATGAAGAACAAGCCACATGGCTTTTCACAAAAATGTTATTCCAGATAGGACAAAATTCAAGGACCCTGAAGCAGAAGTATGCTGATATATAGGTAATATGTCTGGAATGCATGTGGGGTGCAGCAGAAGACAATAGTGTGAGGTGGTATTGTGGAGAGGTGAAGCCTTTGGTGGGTGGGAGAAGATGAAGACAGTAGCAGACCAACCTTTCAATACAATAAGGCTTGAAACTGTGTTGAGAACAATTGGTATAGCAAATACACAGAAGCTGGAAGACTAGTGAGAAGGCTATTACTGACATCCAGGCCAGACAGAGTGGTGGCTTGGTCTAGAATGAGAACACAGAAGGTGGTCCAATTGTGGCCATATTTTAAGGAAAAACACATGTGATCTAATTTCCCACTGGACTGGCGAAAACAAAAGAAAAAAAAAAGATGTCAAGGATGACTCCAAGGTGTCTTTTTATTTCTTCATCTTCCTTTATTTTCTGAGAAACTGGAGAAGTAGAGCTGCCATTTACTGAAATGACTATGAGCAATATAAACTTGGGGTAAGAATCACAAGTTCATTTTCAACATATTACTTACATGAATCTTAGTAATGAGTGTGATGCTTACAGGAGAGAATAAGGTAAAGATGTAAAGTTGGGAACTACCACCACATAAACTGTATTTGAACCCACAAGACTAGGTGGAATAACTAGGGATTGAATATGTATTTTAAAAAGATTTAAGAACAGTACCATGAAGTACTCTAAAATTGGACAGATGAGGACTTGCAAAGGGGAGAGACAGAGAGAAGAGTAATAATAACAGTAGGAGTCAAAGCAGGTCCAGGAGTCTAATGAAAGTATGTTATGAAAGAGACACTGAACAGCTATGCAAAATACTGACAATTGGTTGAGGAAAAAAAAAACATCAAAAACGTTGACAATCTTACTAAAAAAATTTACTGAAGTTGTAGAGGCAGGAAAGACCAACACAAAGTTAGTAGACTTGACTTAAGTAGGGCTGGCATGCATTAAGTGAGAATAATTTTCCCTGGGCTGTTCACTACAAGGATATAGGGGGAGAGAGAGAAAGCCAAATTCTAACCACTAGACCACCAGGAAAGGATACAGTAGAGAAGTAACAGTCGTTATAAGTACAAACAGTTCTCCAGGCCAAAAAGATACTGTTTGATTCTTTTTATATGAGATGTTGAGAAAATGAACATCAGATCACAAAAAGTAAAGTGATTGTTTCCTGAAGTTGTGGGTGAGAACAGAGCTAAACTGAAATGACATAAGGGCTCTCTATGTGGGGAAAGAACTGTTCTAAAACTGAAACAGAGCTGACACCTGTAGCATTCCATTAAAATTATTGGAATTACTAATTGTACACTTTGGAAAATTTCACGTGAAAAATATATTTAATAAGGTCATTAAAAACAAACATATAATCAACACATCATAAAAATCATGCCACCACCTGAATTTCCCACTTGATGAATAACTATATTTGCTTTTAGACATTCTTGATATATAGCTTATCATTCTTGGATCTGATGCATATTTACTTGGAAGTTTTCAAATATGTCATGTATTTCTTAATTTAAAAATACAAGTCTAAAAAACCACTTGATCATCTTAATAGATGCAGAAAAAGCCTTTGATAAGATCCAACATCATTTCATGATAAAAGCTCTAAGAAAACTAGGAATAGAAGGAAAGTACCTCAACATTATAAAAGCTATATATGACAAACCTACAGCCAGCATTATACTTAACGGAGAAAAATTAAAACCATTCCCTCTAAAATCAGGAACCAGACGAGGATGCCCATTATCTCCACTCCTATTCAACATAGTACTGGAATTCCTAGCCAGAGCAATTAGGCAAGAAGAAGGAATAAAAAATACAAACAGTAAAGAAACTGTCAAAATCCCTATTTGCAGACGACATGATCCTATACCTTAAAGACCCAAAAAACTCTACTCAGAGCTTCTAGACATCATCAATAGCTATAGCAAGATGCAGGGATATAAAAATCAACATAGAAAATCATTAGATTCTATACACTAACAATGAGCAAGCTGAAAAAGAATGTATGAAAACAATTCCATTTACAATAGCCTCAAAAAAAATCAAATACCTAGTGTAAACCTAGCAAAAGATGTGAAGACCTCTACAGGAAACTATAAACTTCTGAAGAAAGAGATTGAGGAAGACTATAGAAAGTGGAGAGATCTCCTATGCTCATGGATTGGTAGAATCAACATAGTAAAAATGTCTATACTCCCAAAGTAATCTACATGTTTAATGCAATTCCCATCAAAATTCCAATGACATTCATTAAAGAAATTGAAAATCTACCGTTAAATTTATATGGAAACCAAGAGGCACGAATAGCCAAGGCAATACTCAGTCAAAGAACAATGCAGGAGGTATCACAATACCTGACTTTCAACTATATTACAAAGCAATAACAATAAAAACAGCATGGTACTTGGCACAAAAACAGACATGAAGACCAGTGGAACAGAATAGAGGACCCAGATATGAAGGCACACAACTATAACCAACTTGTCTTTGACAAAGGAGCTAAAAATATAGGATGGAGAAAAAGCAGCCTCTTCAGCAAAAACTGCTAGAAAAACTGGTTAGCAGTCTGCAAAAAACTGAAACTAGATCCATGTATATAACCCTATACCAATATTAACTCAGAATGGATCAAGGATCTTAATATCAGACCACAGGAAATAGTAGGAAATACTCTGGAGCTAGTAGGTATAGGTAAGAACTTTCTCAACGAAACCCCAGCAGCACAGCAACTAAGAGATACCATAGATAAATGGGACCTCATAAAACTAAAAAGCTTCTGTTCATCAAAAGAAATGGTCTCTAAACTGAAGAGAACACCCACAAAGTGGGAGAAAATATTTGCCAACTATACATCAGACAAAGGACTGATAACCAGAATATATAGGGAACTTGAAAAACTAAATTCTCCAAACTAATGAACCAATAAAGAAATTGGGCAACTGAACTAAACAGAACTTTCTCAAAAGAAGAAATTCAAATGGCCAAAAAACACATGAAAAAATGCTCACCATCTCTAGCAATAAAGGAAATGAAAATTAAAACCACACTAAGATTCCACCTCACCCTTAGAATAGTCATCATTAGCACACACCAACAACGTGTTGGGAGGATGTGGGGAAAAAGGAACCCTCTTACACTGTTGTGGTGGGAATGTAAACTAGTACAACCACTCTGGAAAAAAATTGGAGGCTACTTAAAAAGCTAGACATTGATCTACCATTTGATCCAGCAATACCACTCTTGGGATATACCCAAAAGACTGTGACACAGGTTACTCCAGAGGCACCTGCACACCATGTTTATTGCGGCACTATTCACAATAGCCAAGTTATGGAAACAGCCAAGATGCCCCACCACTGACGAATGGATTAAGAAAATGGTATCTATACACATGGAATTTTATGCAGCCATGAAGAAGAATGAATGTTATCATTCGCTGGTAAATGGATGGAATTGGAGAACATCACTGAGTAGGTTAGCCTGGCCCAAAAGACCAAAAATCGTATGTTCCTCATATGTGGATATTGATCAAGGGCAAACACAACAACGGATTGGACTTTGAGCACATGATAAAAGCGAGGAGCACACAAGGGAGGGTGAAGATAGGTAAGACACCTAAAAAACTAGCTAGCTTTGTTGCCCTTAATGCAGAGAACTAAAGCAGATACCTTAAAAGCAACTGAGGCCAATAGGAGAGGACCAGGAACTAGAGAAAAGTTTAATCAAAAAGATTACCTAGAGGTAACACACACGCACAGGAAATCAATGCGAGTCAACTCCTGTATAGCTATCCTTTATCTCAACCAGTAAAAACCCTTGTTCCTTCCTATTATTGTTATACTCTCTCTCACAAAATTAGAAATAAGGGCAAAATAGTTCTGCTGGGTATATGAGGGGGGAGATGGAGGGGGGGAGTGGTGGTAGGAGGAGTGGGGGCAGGGGGGAGAAATGACCCAAGCCTTGTATGCACATATAAATAATAAAAGAAAAAAATAAAAATACAAGTATAGATAATTAAAATGCAAAATTCCCATT